TTCTTAGTTGTTGTGTTAAGACATTTATATTCTACATTTAGAAAGACTTACATGTACCCTTATAGGATGAACCATAGGCGTGATCCCACCACTCACCCTTCCTCCACCCATCTCCTGCCTACCCTCCCATTCCCTGCCTCTCCCCTCTCCCTGTATTAATTTATAGCTTTCATAGGAAAGCTATAACCCAATTTTAACCCATGCCAAATGTCAATATCTCTGTTTTTGTGCCATGCTTCTGTCTTCCTTAAAGAAGAATCTATTCATGTCTCTTACCCAGTGATAGATGGGTTGTTGGGTCTTATAGATCCTAGTTATCAAGTTTTTGTCTAATTCATAATATGCAAATATCTTTTCCCATTCTGAAGGTTGTCTTTTTGCTTTGGTTGTTGTTTACTTACCTGTAAAGAAGCTTTTCAGTTCAATTAAGTCCCATTTGTTTATTTTTGTTGTTGCAATTTCCATGGTATTCTTCTTCATAAAATTATTCCCCAGGCCAATATCTTCAAGTGTTTCCCCCACACTTTCTTTGAGGATTTTTCTTTTTGCTTTTTTCAGGCCTTATATTTAAAACTTCTGTCCATCTTGAATCAATTGTTGGAAGCAGTGAGAGATGTGAGTCCAGTTTCAGTCTTTGGCATGTGGATATCCAGTTCTCCCAACACCATTTATTGAATAGGGATTCTTTCCCCCACGTATGTTCTTGTTTGGTTTATTGAAGATCAAGTGGCTGTACAGTGTTAGTTTCATCTCATGGTTTTCTATTCAGTGCCAAATGTCAATGTCTGTATTTTTGTGCCAATAGCATGCTGTTTTGATCACTATGGACTTGTAGTATAGCCAAAAGTCTGGTTGGGTGATACCCCTGGCTTTGTTTTAATTACTAAGAATTGTCCTGGCTATCTGGGGTTTCTTCTGGTTCCATAGAAAACAACAAATTATTTTTTCCAAATCTTGAAAATATGTTGATGGTATCTTAATGAGAATTGCAATGAATTTGTAGATGCTTTAGGTAGTATAGATATTTAAATAATGTTGATTCTTCCCCAGCATGAGCATGGTATTTCTTCCACTTATTCACATCTCTGCTATTTCTTTTCTTAGGATTTTGTAATTTTCATTGTAGAGGTTCTTCACCTCTTTTGTTATGCATATTTCTAACTATTTCATTTTTTTTTAAGCATCTATGAAGGAAATTGTGTCCTCAGTTAGTTTCTCATCTGGGCTGTTATTGGGCTGTTATACAAAGGCTACTGATTTGTGGTCGTTGATTTTACATCCTGAGACACTGCTGTGTTTTTTGATCACATCCCAAAGTCTTGTGGTTGAGTCATTGGGGTTCTCTAAGTATAAGATAATATCATTAGCAAAGAGCAAGAGTTTGACCTCCTCTGCACCCGCTTGGATGCCCTTTATTTCTTTCTCTTGCCTGATTGCATTGCCTAGAACTTCTAGCACTATGTTGAATAGTAGTGGCAATAGAGGGAAACCTTGCCTGTTTCCAGTTCTAAGTGGAAAAGCTTTCAGTTTTACTCCATTCAGTATAATATTAGCTGTGGGTTTGTCATCGGTGACTTTGATAAGATTAAGAAATATGTCACCTATGCCTATATTCTTAAGTGTTCTAATTAGAAAAGGATGCTAAATTTTATCAAATGCTTTTTCTGCATCTATTAAGAGGATCATATGGTCTTTGTTTTTGCCTCTGTTGTTATGGTGAATTACATTTATGGACTTGCATATCTTAAACATCTTAAACCAGCCTTGCATCCCTTGGATGAAACCTACTTGATCATGATGAATGATTTTTTTAATGTATACCTACAATCTATTAGCTAGGATTTTATTGAGAATTTTTGCATGTATATTCACTAGTGAAATTGGTCTGAAATTCTCCTTTTTGTTGGCTCTTTTCCTGGTTTTGGTATTAATATGTTTGCTTTGTAGAATATGTTGAGAAATATTACTTCCTACTCAATTTTTTTTGGATAATTTTTGCAGGATGGGTATAAGCTCTTCTTTGAAGGTTTGATAGAATTCTGATGTAAAGCCATCTGGACCAGGGCATTTTTTGGTGGGGAGATTTTTTATTGTTTCTTGATCTCAGTTCCTGAAATTGATCTGTTCAAGAGATTTCTTTCTTATTGGTTAAGTCTAGGGAGAGAGGGTGCAATTCCTGATATTGATCCATTTTCCCTACATTGTCAAATTTCTGGGCATACAGTTTCTTATAGTACTCAGAGATGCTCTCTTGTAACTTTGTGGCATCTGTTGTTATTTCCCCTTTATCATTTATTGTTGAGGTTATTAGAGATTTTATTTTTCTGTTTCTAGTTAATCTGGCCAAAGGTTCATCAATGTTATTTGTTTTTTGAAAAACCTATTTTTTGTTTTGTTAGTTTTCTGAATAAATTTTTGTTTTCAATTTCATTCATCTCTGATTTAATTTTGGTTATTTCTTTTCTTCTGCTGGGTTTGGGGTTAGATTGTTCTTTTTCCAATTCCATAAGATGGTTTATGAGTTTTTTTCATGCAGTCTCTTTCAGTTTTTCAGATGTAGGCATCTAAAGTGATAAATTTTCCTCTCAGGATTGCTTTTGCTATATCCTACAGGTTTTGGTAACATGGGTCTTCATTGTTGTTATGTTTGAGGAATTTAACAATTTCCCCTGCTGGGTTGGGAACATAAAGCTCACAAGAATCCTTCAGGTTCAGGTCTCACAATATCCCATGGGGTACAGGAGTCCTTCAGCCTATCCCAGAGTGGAGTACTGATCCCTGCAGGCATAATTAAGATAGCTGTGCTTTAGTTCCCACCTGAGACCTTCTCATGACCTTTCCACAATGGCAGCCCATTAGCTGCCTTGCAAGCCACCAAACCTATGGGAAATACACTCCAACTGGCATTCATATATGGTTACTGTATACTATTCAAGTCCACCCACTCTTCCAAGTTTTCCACTCAATGTGCAGGTTCCCCCAACACCTGAAAACTATGGAAAGGCTTCCTCTTGTCCCAAACATCCATGGGTGGCTACCCCATCCCAGCCAGTCAAAATCACTTACCTAATTCATCTTATTTCCACCCCTCCAGGTCATATGCTGTATCCAGCTCACCAGCTCCTTGCTGTGCTCAAGCTATGACTCTAAGTTAGGTTCCCATCCCAGGTATAGCTAGGGGTTGGGCTCTCCCTTTTTCTTCAGTCATTCTAGGACAGCTCAGCTGAGTGATCCTTCTGGTCTACCATCTTGCTTCCCCCCTCCCCATATATGCACTTCTTATTCCATGGTAGTATTTCAACCAATCTCATCAAACTTTTTCTAGTGTTTTTATCACTTTGTTAATTAAAAATATAATTATTTTCTTAATTAAAATTAAACTTTGTTAATGTCCTTTGTTAATTAAATAACCTCTCTAGCTATCTATGTCTATTGATCAGCTTAGACATATATATGTATATCTCATTTATACAGTGAGAAATATACATTTATATATACCGACAATAAATCTCAAGAAATAGAAATATTGGTCTTCCCTGATCCCATCTGACTGTGGAAATAAAGTTTTTGCTCTTTGGAAGGGTAAAGAGGCAAGCAGCTTCCCTTACAGCATTCTGACCCTGTAAGTCTTTATTCTAATTCTAAATATTAATATTTTATGGTCACTTTAAAGGGTTTTTGTTCTTGGTATTATTCTATCCTAACCAATATTTGCTAAATGGCCCTTAATTCTGTATATGCATTTTAGGATGCTTAAGACATTCTATGTATGATGTGGAGACATAAAAATCAATTGTATAGGGAAAAAAGATATCAAAAAGAAGAGAAAAAGGTACTAAATTACTGACAAGAGTTCCAAGAGCAAAGATTGGTACACCATTCCAGATTGAAATATGTTCTGCAAACATTAGCTTCTACTAAAAATTGCCAGGGATAATGTGCCTACATTTCATATTGTTCAAACTTACTCTAATTACACATTGAGAAATCAGAATGATCTGTGGTTCCAGTCATTTGGTTATTGGTGGGTGCTGTGTCTTCTTTTTCTTTATTCAGCAGCCAGATACTGCAGCTGGTGACAAAGGCATAAGCCACAAAACTGAATGAAAAGGCATTTAAACTATAATTCAACTCACATTTAGTGATTCCTAAAGCAATTAGGACAGATGACAAACACTTTATCAAATGATAACATTTGGATTCATTCTTTCTCATCCCAGGAACTCTAGACAAAGTCATATTTGGCTTAAGCAAGAGATCACTAAAGTTTCCCTATAAACATTAGATGTTAAGATTGTGTGTGTGTGTGTGTGTGTGTGTGTCTTTCTTTGATTTTGTTTTGTTTTTTTAATGGAAGCCTTTTAAGGCACCAAATTCCTTTACTGAAGAGAACTCTATATTCTTCCAGATAGCATTAACCTCTCTCAATAGAGATGTTTTTGCTCCTATAGAAATGATAATATAAATAGTGATAGCAAACATTTATTGAACACTTAAGCAAAGAATAGTGTGGAAAGCTGTACCTTGATTAATACATCTAATGCTCACAACCTCACACAGAAAGTATTAAATTATTTCTTATAAAGATAAGAAAAGGGAGGCCTAGAGAGAAAAAAATAAATGATTTGCTCAATTCCACAAAGTCAGTGTGACAGAGTGCACTAGGAGTTCATCAAAATCCATTTTCTTTTCTACTGCATACTAAGATACATTTTCCAACTCTCCCCGCAGTTAGGTATAGCAAAACAATTAACTTCTGGCCAATAGAATGTGAGCAGAAATGATGTGAAGCATTCCAGATGAATATGTTTAAGAAGTTGGTAGTCTTCCACATGGGCCCTTTCCTGCTAAATGGAGAACATAGCAAAGTCATCGAGGAATGATGGAACCATAAAAGATAAAGATGTTTTTCCTTTAGCAAAGGACTTTAAAAAGCACCTGTCCCCCACTAACTTCCTTAGGTACCCAATGGACTTTTTAAAATAAGAAATAACTTCAAAATACTTACATGGCAAGGGAGATACTATGATCCTGAAGGTGATTTTCTGAGTCTAGGCTCATCCATTGCACTAAGAATGTGCCAACCCCTGAGATTTCTCCAAATGTGGAAAACTTGATGGCATAATTTGTGGTAGTGGGAGACTATGGTCATGCTTTCCCCCATAGAAAAAATAAAATGTCAGTCGCTTAACACAATAAGATGCATTGGTTACTGGCTCTAACATTTATGTAAATGCTATTTGCTCTCAGTGGCTTAACCAACTAAGGAACTCAGATTGTGTGATCAATATACAAAATCACCATGTAAAGTGTGAAAATGGGAGGGAGCCCAATTCTAGAAATTACTATCTAAATTCTTAGAAAAAGCCAACTCCTTAGGCTTTAATATTCCTCCCTTCTTTGCTTGGTTCTTTTTTCTTTATTATTAAATGATAGCTGTGTAATAAAAATGAGATCAAATAAAAAAAAGTATTCCTCCCTGCTATTAGTAAAACTTCCAAAGACCTTCCTGTCAGGGCAGCTGTTCTTTTCGAGTCTGCCCACTCTCTTGAGAGTGTATGTTTCCTTTCAAAAAAATAAAATAAATCTGCCCCTTGCTTGGCTTATGTGGTGTGTCCAGAAATTCTTTCCTCTGGATCACCAAGAACCAGGAAAAACCTACACCTGGAAGCTGCTAACAGTTCAAAGTCAGACAGATCTGAGTCTGCTTCCTTATTCTACCACACTGTTTGCATGAGCTTTAGGGAGTTATTAAATTCTGTGAACTCCAACTCTGTAACCTGTAAAATGGGGGTATGAGACATGCTTGTTAATTATGCGTGCCTGTCCCAATTTCGTCCCTAGTGCCTGTCTCAATTTCATGCCAAATGCATCTGTTTCCTTCTGCTCTTCACTATGACATCCCTCTTTACTCTAGATACAGACACAAAGGGCTTTGGCCTTCCCTGGAGCAGGATATCACTTTCTTCAGATTCAGAGAGAGGTGAAGAGGTTCTGCAGATAATTTATTAGTTAGAACTCAGTAGTATGTATATCTTGAGCTAAATTACCAATGGCAAGCTGTTACTGAAAAATGGCAATATGCCTTTATTTCTACATCTGAAATTTTAATAATTAAAAATAAAACCTGAGATTATCTTGATAAAATTAAGATAGTCTGTACCTAGTAATGAGAGAAATAAGTATAACCCCATAAAAGTAAAATTAAAAGCTATACACATTTACTAAAAGTTAAAGTCCTAACTAACAAAAATATTCTTAATGCTTCATATACCCTCAATGCTCTGGGTCTTTCTTCTAAAAGAATACTATCCCTCACTTTCTTTCCTAATGTGTATCAGATTCTCTTTTATAAATGTACATCCCACTTCTACTCATTGTTACACCTCTTGTCAAAACATTGACTTCAATCCTTTTTCAAATGGATAGTATGAGTTGTCCATTTCTGGGTACATGGACTTTCTTCCCTTCTCAGTTCCAAAGGAATTCTAAAAATATAGAGGAGAAGGATTTGAGGTTGTGTTTGCATTTAAAAGAGAACTTACAAAACCAATTTGTTAAGTGTAGACTAGTGAGAGGGCAGAGGAGGGAGAAGGATAGAGGGAGGAGGGAAGGTGATTGGTTGCATGTTGTCTAATGTCCACATTGTGAGGGTATTCAGCATGCCACATGCATGAAAGGCAACTACAATTTGAACTCTACCTTAGAAATGGAAACAATGCAATTAAAAAAAAAGAAATGGAAACAATGTAACCTAAATATTTTTACTCTCATGTGTGTGTATATTATATATATATTATATTATATATTATGTATATTATATATGTATAATATATGTACATGTATAATATATGTATTATATATGTACATGTATATGTACACAATTGTATACAATTATATATGTATAATACATGTACATGTATATATATATATATATGTATATATATACATGTATGTACTTTTTTTAGACAGAGTCTCACTATGTTGGCCTTGGTAGTGCCATGGGGGTCATAGCTCACAGCAACCTCTAACTCCTGGGCTCAAGTGATCCTCTTGCCTCATCCTCCCAAGTAGCAGGGACTACAGGTGCCCGAAACAATGCCCAGCTAATTTTTAGAGATGAGGTCTCACTCTTGCTCAACTTGGTCTCAAATTCCTGACATCCAGTAATCCACTCATCTCAGCCTCCCAGAGTGCTAGGATTACAGGTGTGAGCCACTGTGCTCAGACATTTTTTTAACAAGTTGGTATAATTTAAAAAATTGTGTATTTAAAAAAAAAAAAGAATGTGTTAAGAACTGGTACGTGGTGGTCCTGTCCAGTGGTAAATTACTTTCATTTCTTCCTATTTGCAGCATTTGTAGTAAATAGTACAAAAGTCGTATTAAACATGTCTTATCTCCACAGCTGTGGCCTACAGTAACAATATGCACAATTGACATTCTTACCATGATCTACAAATTGGACAGTCTCAAAGTTCTCAACCTGATCATAGACCTCTCTTCATAATTCATTGGCACTTTTTCACTTCCTAGAGTTGCTACCTTCTTTTCTACATTGGCATCTTTGCCACTTCTTTCTATTTTTTTTTGCCTGCAATGCTCTTCTCCCAATTATTAGCATTCATGGATTTTCTCATCTTTAAGATGTCAATTAAAATGTTTCTTTCTCAAAATAGTTTTTTTTGTTTGTTTGTTTTCCCTGTAAGTAGAACATTCCACCCTCAACCATTTTATTTGCATCCACAGTATCCAGGTGGTGAGACATAACTGTACATCCCTTCAGGACAATTATTCATTGGTGATTATTTGACTTACTGTCCCTTCCTTCCAATAGACTAACTCCAGGAAGGCAGTCAGTATCATCTTCCTCACTCCCTGTTGGTTTGCTCACAGCAGCCCATCTCCTAAAACAGAAGAGATACACAATATTTGTTTAATGGCCAGAAAGTGGCCATTCCCCAATCCAGTGATTTGGGGAAATCTCTAATGATTATAGACAGGGCAAGTTCTCTACATGCTTAATGGATTCAGTGTAACTCACACAGTTGTGTTTTTAAAAATCTGACTAATGAATTGAGCACGGTGGGTCTTGGGCTAATAATAAACACTGCCTCAGTCTGCGGGGAACAGACCACACAAACATTCTAGATTGCTTTTCCTCTCTCCTCAGAAGCAGCTGAACTGGGGATTTGTAGAAGGGCAGATAGCGTCACTCTGCCACACTCTAGAGGTGCCTGTCTTAATTCCACACTGAGAACATCTGCTTCTTTCCATTCTTTACCACAGCAATCCCTCTCCAGTGAAGAGATGGGCACAAAGGGCTCCGGCCTCCACTGGAGCAAAAAGGCACTTGCTGCTAATTCAGAAAGATGTCAAGAGAAGCTGGCAGACAATTGATTAGTCAGAACCCAGTGGTACACACATCCTGGGGCAAAGTACCAATGGCAAACTGTTGCTAGAACAGAAATATGCTTTCATTTCAACATCTGATTTTTTTTTTTTTAAAGGTAAAGAAACAGTTTGGCTCTTTGTCTCACTGTCTTAATTAAAGTCTGTACAAGAGACACCAAGTGCGAAGAGCAAAATCTTCGAGTTAGGATGACCAGGCTTTAACTCTAGACTCTCCATTTATGTTTACTATTATCTAAGATTCTCTAGCATTTTATGTCTCAGAGCAACTTCCCTTGCTTATGAAATGGGAAAAATGACTATTATTACTATACTTATTTTATTATTATAAGTCTGCTTCACAGGCTGCAATGAAGATTCATCTTTTTCTTTTGACTTATTTTTCCTCCAGAGATATATGTTTATTCTTTGTATATACCACTTATCTCAATATGTCCTTATACAACATGCATTAGAGTCACCCATTTCCAGGAAATTTGAATGCATACTAAAGGTTGGTCTAAACTATTTGATTAAATACAAAATTCAGATTGTATTGGCATGGCCCTTGTTAAAACATTTTCTTCCTAATCTGAGATTTATGTTTCCTAAAACCTCATGTGGAACAATTTCTGATAAAGAAATTCAAGACTTTACATATTTTTTAAAACTTGGGAAACTATAAGTATGCTGTAAATAACCCCACACATGTACACACATATACAAAAAGACATTATAGATTTTTGATATAAGCATAAAATTGTTTCACATGGACAGTACACATTAATATAAAATTAATAGCATATCTGAGACCTTGCAGTGGTATAGTCTTGATGATAGTATTCTTAATGTTTATTTATCTTTAGTTATTTTATATGTACTTAGAGATATGCCTTTCATATATTTATCTAAAAACCATGAGTATGTCTATCTGGCTTTGTAGCAAATCATCAGGGCATGATGTGATGCTTCTTATCAATGTTCAATATAATTATTCTAAAATAAGATTAGAGACTGGAGAATTTAATCAAAGATAACTAAAAATTACCTTTTACTAGTTTCAAAAAGGAAAGCATACAGAATTTATAGCTTCACTGTCATGAGTACTCAGGGAGCTTGCAGCTGGGGAAGATCACCAGCCCAGCATCGTGCCAAATCCAGGATCTATATATACAGGATTAGTTGACAAGCAGTATGTCCATAAGCAATAGATTTATGGCAGGTCAGCAGGATTGGAAAACTGCAGTGTGAGGATTGAAGCTAGGTCTGCAAAAGGGTACCATGATGGAGGAGGGGGAGGGGAATGTTGGCAGAGGAAAAGCAGCAGGGACTATCATTACTGATTTATTGGCACCATAACTACATTTCCTCAAGCTTAGGGTAGAGGTATATTAGCAATTCTTTGTGTGTGTGTGTGTGTGTGTGTGTGTGTGTGTGTGCAGAAGAAGAACCTTGGTCTTAAGTTATATCACATACTAGCCAGGTTATAAAGAACAGTGATTAAAATCTGTTTGTTTGTTTTTTCTAGTTGTTGGCAAATCTATCATACTGTAAGGGGGAAACGCATTTCAACTTTATTAGAAGTGGGAGAAAGCATCTCTTCAAAGACTAAGGTATATGCACAATATTTAAACAAAGTGAAACTCTTTGGATTCAACAGTGAAACAAAACTTTAAAGATTGAGTGGCACCTGTGGCTCAAAGGCATAGGGCGCCGGCCCCATATATTGGAGATGGTAGATTCAAACCCAGCCCTGGCCAAAAACTGAGAA